TGTGTTTTGACACAAGTCACTTCGGGCTTCCTCAGTGGAACTAACCATTAAGTAATTACTTTTTTTTATTGAAAAAGGAAGGAACAAGGGTCCTTGTCTGTTGTTCATGGGCAAGAGCCTGTGGTGCACTTGGTTGCACACCCATCACTTGGCACACCTGGATGTCACTTAGTTCTCTGGGCCTCGGTATTTTGTAAAGGTTCCAGATGGTAGCAGGGAAGGCCTGCATCCTGGGTGATGGGTAGGGCAACAGGGAGCAGAGAGGACGGTGGGCCCAGCTAGGTTCTGTTTACTCAGAGGGAAGTAGCGGGTCCTCGGCAGCCTCCTCTGGGCTTTGGGATGGTGGGGACACAGTGGTCGCAGAGTCCAGGTGGCCTCTTGAGTCGCACAGTGAAGGCCTGGGACCTAAGGAGGCGTCCTTGTAGGTGGTTTGGAGATTCAAGTCCAAGATCAGTTGGCCCCCACAGGTGACAGGCAGAGTGGACAGTGAGAGAGAGAGACAGAGACAGAGAGAAAGGTCTTCCTTTTTGCTGTTGGTTCACCCTCCAATGGCCGCCGCGGCCAGCGCACTGCGGCCAGTGCACCGCGCTGATCCGAAGGCAGGAGCCAGGTGCTTCTCCTGGTCTCCCATGGGGTGCAGGGCCCAAGCACTTGGGCCATCCTCCACTGCACTCCCGGGACATAGCAGAGAGCTGGCCTGGAAGAGGGGCAACCGGGACAGAATCTGGAGCCCCGACCAGGACTAGAACCTGGTGTGCCGGCGCCACAAGGCAGAGGATTAGCCTAGTGAGCCGCGGTGCCGGCGTAGGTGTGTTTTATATTAGTGCCTCACCATGATGAGCAAGGCAGCCCATTAAGTGGGTTACAGACACTAAGGATGGTGGTGGATTTTGCTGACTCTCAGATACAGTAATGTTGAATTTGAATAAGCCTCATCCTGCCCAGTTTCATGGCTTGGCTTTTGGCAGGAGTATTAGTAAGTGAGTGGAGGCAACTTGATCCTATGGTTTCTGTTCTTGCCCCTTTGCTTTGCAGGATTCATTGCTGTGTGGGTAATTCTATTTTCCTTTGACACTTTGTTATGTTTTTATTTTGCTGCTGCTTTTATTTTCAATCTCCAGAGGATGAGAGAATCTTTTCTATGTTAATTCAATTAGCATTTGTGAACCGTCTTCAGGGCACTGTGGTGGAAACAGCCCAGGAGGTAGACTCAGGGCTCCTGGCTTTGTGTCATCACTCTCACTCTGACATTTGCTGAGTCACTGAGCTCACCGGCTCTCAAGTTCCTCGTTTGCAAGCTGGGGAGAAGAGCATGTGTCTCATCCCTGCCAGCACTTGAGATGATCAAATAAGATGACAGATACAAAATTCCTATTGTTAATAACTGTCCATACCCCATCTACATCTCAAGAATAGTAATGCACGTTTTAAAAATTAACAAAGCTTTCTAACTGAAGGGCATTAAAAGGATAACATTTATGAGTATTTCCAGCTTTTTGCTTATGTAACATGTTGGATAATACCATGTTCTTGGTTAGGAAATTGTTCTATTCTGTGTTATTTTCTATTCTGTGTAAGCTCTGAAAATGAAAAAAAAAATACTAGTGAAGAAATGATCTTTTTTTGCTACAAAGATATTTTCTAGTTATTGCTTCAACTTTTTGAATGCCTCTGTATAAACCTAAATGTAATATAAGCCTAAATGAGGCAATCTGAGCTTTTGATGTCTTTCAATAATTTAATTTTCTGTTCAACATCTCAATTTGTAGATGTGACTTTTGGTTCTGGTAATGTATCAGAATAGATAACCTGAAGGGATATTTGGCTAAAATAATTAAGTCTCAGATGCACAACAGTAACCATGAGTTTTAGTGTATCTCTGAGTCTATTAGAAAGTAGGGAAAACATGTAAATCAAAATAAAAACAGAAGCAAACACCAAAGAGTGGGGTTCTAAGACCACAAGATAGAGCAGTGAACAGTAACCAAACACCTGGGAAGTGCCTTTTGTCAAGATGCCTAGATCTGTACCGCCACGCAGAAAGCTTTTAGACCACAGAAGGTAGAGAAATGAGACCCCAAACTCCCCCATTGACTCAATTCTCTTAACAGGGAATGGAGGGGCTGCAGGTAACATCGCTAGCTCTTAGGAGAAGCAAATGTAAACCTATAGTAGAGGTGGAAGAATCACCACAGTTAAGTAAAAATAAGGCTCACAAATATATAATTTCCCAAAGAAAAGGCATAAGCCACTATATAAGGAAAATAACCAAAACCAGCAAATGCCTTATGCAAAATCCCATTTAAAATATTGGAATGATCATATACAGAATATAAAGTAACTGTAAATGAAAGTTTTAAAACAAAGGCATAATTAAAATAACCAGGAAGCAAAAGGTTACAAAACTGACCAGGCCCATCTGAAATATGAAAAGAACCATACGGAATTTTAGGAATGGAAAATACAAAGCTTAAAATTAGAAATGAAATGAACAGGTTAAAGGACAGTTTAGACACAGATTAAGAAAGACTTCCTGAACTAGAGGATAGATCTGAAGAAATTATCCACCCACTAGTCAATGTCAGGAATATGGAAGACTTGAAGAAAAGATTAGGAAACCTGGGGACATAGAGTGAGAACGCTAGCTTGTATCTAATTTGTTTGAAGGAGAAAATAGAGGTAATTGAGGATGGGCAGTACTGACAAGATAATGACTGATGCTGACTCAGAAGTGATGGAAGACACAAACCCGCATATGCTTGAGACAGCACTACAGAACACACACACACAAAAGATTTAAGAACAGCAAGAGAGATATTTTAAAAACCTATTAGTGAAAAGCAATAGAAGAGACAAAAGAGTAAATGAAAATTAGAAAGCTTAAACTGAGGTAACACATGATCTGGCAGTGTGGCGCAGCGAGTTAAAGCCCCGGCCTGCAGCACCAGCATCCCATAAGGGCACTGATTTAAGCCCCAGATGCTCCACTGCCATTCCAGCTCTCTGCTGTGGCCTGGGAAAGCAGTGGAGTCCTTGGGCCCCTGCACCCATGTGGGAGACCTGGAGGAAGCTCCTGGATCCTGGCTTTGGACTGACTCAGCTCCAGCCTGCGGCCATTTGGGGAGTGAGCCAGCAGATGGAAGACCTCTCTCTGTAATTCTGTCCTTCAAATAAATAAAATAAATCTTTTTTTAAAAAAGAATCTAGGTAATATAAACCAGTACTGATTTGTTGAGAACATAATTAATTATTAAAAAGATTTATTTATTTATTTGAAAGGCTGACAGCAAAACACACACACACACACACACACACACACAGAGATAGCTTTCATCTACTAGTTCACTCCCCAAAGGAAAATAGCAGGACCGGGCCAGGCTGAAGCCAGGAGTCATTTGAGTTTCCCACATGGGTGGCAGGGACCCAAGCATTTGCGCCATCAACCACTGGCTTCCCCAGAAGCTGGACTGGAAGCGGAGCATCGAGGACTTGACCCGGTGCTCTGATATGAGAAGCTGGTGTCACAAGTGGTGACTTAATCCACTGTGCCACTGTGTTGGCCTCCCAGAAATTTTTACATTTTTGAAATTTTATTTTTATTTGAAAGGCAGACAGAAGTAGAGAGACATCTTGCATCTGCTGGTCCATGCCCCAGAAGTCTGCAACAGCCAAGGCTGGGCCAGGCCAGAGCCAGGAGACAGTCAATCTGGTTCTCCCACACAGGTGGGCCCTCACTGCTGCCCCCCAGGGTCTGCCTTAGCAGAAAGCTGGAATCAAAAGCAGCACTGAACTCAGGTCCAGCTTCTCCAGGAGGGGCTGTGAGTATCCCAAGTGACCTTTCAACCACTGTGCCAAATGCCTGCCTCAGGGAATACACATGGCTAAAGCACATATGGAAAATTTATGAAAATGGATTGTATGCTAGGCCAGAAAACCATATTTCAAATAATAGTTATCATCCAACCATGTTTACTGAGTATGATTATATTTAAACTAATGGCAAAATATAGAAAATAGTCTCACATGCTTAGAAATTTCAAAATGCTGCTAATTAATCAAAATAGAAATAAAATAGAAATTTTAAAGTGTCTAGCAGCAAATGATGAAGTATTACATGTTCAAAGTTTATAAAAGCAATATTTAAAGAAGTGTTTATAGTCTTAAATGTGAACATTGTAAAAGAAGAGAGGCTGAAACTTAGAGAGCTATCTATCCAACTTAAAAGTCAGACAGAACAATGAAGTAGAGTCAAGAACAGGATGAAGAAGAAAATATAGACAACTAGAAACCAAGATGCAATAGAAAGGATCATCAAAACCAAAAGTAGGCTGTGAAACGATGTAGAACAGGGCAGTGTCTGGAGGGGAACAGAGAAAGAGCAGAAGAGAATCGACCCCAATAAGCAATACTAGAAATAAAAAAAGTGTAAAATGTAATAACACTATATACATAATTTTATGCTAATTTCTAAAATTTGTATGAAATAGACATCTAGAAAAAATAATTGACCCATAATAATAAAGAAGCAAAGAAAAAACACTCCTATAGATATTACAGACACCAAGCCAGCAATTGTATTTCCACAAAGAAAACAACAAGGTGTGTGTGTGCTGTGCAACGGGAGGCCCACAGCCCATATCGGAGTGAGTGGGTTTGACTCATGGCTCCACTTCTGATTCAAGCCTCCTGCTAATGTGCACACTGGGGAGCCCCAGGTGATGGCGACAGTGTGGGTCTCTTTCCACACCTGGGAGACCTGCACTGAGTGCCAGGCTCCTGGCTGGGCCTGGCCTAGCCTTTGCTATTGCAGGCATTTGGGGGAGTGAACCAGTGAATCAAAGATCTCTCTCTCTCTCTCTCTCTCTCTCTTTCAAACAAAATGGAATAAATAAATAAAAATTTCTAAATGACTCAAATTTATTTTAAGAATATCAAATGAGATGATTTTATAGTGATTGTATCAAAATGTTAAAGGAGATGTAATTCTATTATACAGTTTAGAAACAATTTTGAGTGGAAAAGCAAGTAGCAGAACATGTTATGCTGTAAGATATTTTAATCAAGTTTAAAGAAATGATTTCTGGAAACAGAACACAGGGTCAGAGCAAAGGTTGTTGGCACCAGGGTTGAAGGATGCTGGAGACCTCTGGGAAGACGTGAAGTCCTCTCTCTCGTGGCGTCCGTTCTCCCACAGTGTGGGGAAAGTCTAGGATGGTCCTTCTTCCTTAGAGACAGTTTGCTTACATTAGCAGGCAGCTTGCTGCATCCCTCTCTCCCTCTCCCCCCTTTTCCTCTCTCTCTTTCTCCCCCTCTTCCCTCTTCTCCCTTCTCTCTCTCTGCCTCTCATCTCCCACCAGAACTGGCAGTCTCCCACAAGTGCCAGTCGTCCAGGGGGTACTCACAGGTCCACCCCCCGAGGCCCCCCGCCCCCCCACCGTGGCACGGCTGCCCTGCACACACAGTGTAACTCTGGCTCTCACTCGTCTTCCTTTGGGCGTCTGGGGTGTGGGGAACCAGCACAGGCTATTCTGTGAGTCATTAAGAGTTGGCCTGTAACCCACAGAATGAATTGACTAAAATAAATAAATAAATACAAAAGCAAAAAAAGATAGGTGTGAAAACTTAAACTGTACACTAATACATGTCTTAGAGAAATGCCTGCATAGCAAAAGCATAAAAAGCTATAAATGCATTAAGTAATCTTTATTTTTTTTAGGAATTTCGGTACTTTAGGAATTTCAGGCTTTACAAAAAAATCTTCATTAGAATTTCAAATACATCATTTTATACATAGTTGATTACGTGAACATAAATATTTTACATAATTAACAAAAAAACTAAATAGAATGAGAATGGTTGAAAATCAAAAATAAAAGTTAAATTAGTAGGGGCTGGTGTTGTGGTGCAACAGGTTAAGCTGTCGACTGAGACTCCAGTGTCCCATATCAGAGCACCACTTCAAGTCCTGGCTGCTCTGCTTCCAGTCCAGCTCCCTGCTAACGTGCCTGTGAAAGCAGCAGGTGGTTCAGCCTGAGACCCAGCCAATACAGGCGGCTCAAGTGGAGTTCTGAGTTACTGGCTTTAGCTTGGCCCAGCCCTGGCCATTGCAACCATTTGGGAGTGAAGCAAGGGATGGGAGATTCTCTCTCTCTTCCTGTGTCTCTTTCACTCTGCCTTTCAAATAAATAATCTTTAAAACAGCTATTAGAAGCTTCTTCTATACACACACACACGCACACACACATATGCATACAAAGGACAAACTTTGTTGCATTATAAGCTGTTTTTGGCAGTCATTTTGCTAGTGGCAATGTTGGCGTTAGAATTCAGACTGTTCTATGCGTTATTGATAAAGTAGACAGATACCTGTCTGATATCCTACCACTCCCAATGTTGTTGAGAATGAATAATTTTGTAGTGGGAAAAAGATTCTGACATATGACATATAATGAAAGGAACTAAGACAGACTCGAGTTCTGGGTTAGACTTGGAATATGAACTTACAATGGATTTTATGTTCCAGAATTTTATTTTCTCCTGGACAGAAACAATGTCCAATCTGGCAACAACGAGTACCTGGAGATCCCCACTGTGGTGTCTATGTTCCATTTCTCGTGACCCGGGGATCCACAGTGAAAACTTCATGCCAGGTCTGTGGAAGGGAACATACAAGATGAGCCTTCAACATTAACATTCACTCTGGTCACAACGAGATAATGCTAATTTGAAGACTCTCCAACCAGTTAACAGATTGGTCTTATGAGCCTCAAAAATAGTAATATCTACAGGAACTAGTGCACATTAAATGTATCTACATCAAGGACTTCATACTGATGCAAGTAAAAGAGCAAAGAATAGGAAAAGTCAATTAATTTGTCACACTTGAAAAACTCTAGGATACAAACATTTTCTTCCAAGAAATAGTAAACAGAAAGAATTAAGTGTTGCTTCTGCTTTTTCCATAAAAGCTATACCATAAGTACCCAAATTATGGATAAGGAGAAAAGATTTTTATTACAGCATCCTAACCAATAAAAACATGGGGTGGTAGGATTAGAATATTAACTTTCAAACCTGAACAGATGAATGAACAGATCTGGGCATTGTTTGAAAATAGCTGCTACATCACATAAAGACAAACAAGCCAGGATTCCGTTCTTCCTGATGGACGGAAACGCTACCACTACAAGGCAGTCCCTTGCAGCCCCAGTTACGTCTGAATTTGATTAAACTTCTAGATCCAACTGCCATTTTTGGGAAATTCTGAGGATAGAATCAATTAGCGTCAGAGTGGAACAAATAGAATCCTGAGTGTAAAAGTACCTTAGAAGAGGGGAAGTGATGTCATCAAAAATGGTGACTACAAAAAATACAGTTAGTTTGTGTGAGTGTGTATGTGTGTGTGTATATGAAGGAGAATTTATAGATTAAAAACAACAAAAAGACATATTTCTTAACCAAAAGATAAAGCGTGGAGCCCTTTGGGTACTGATTTAAATAGCTAACATAATCCCTGTGGTATCTGTGAGACAACTGGAAACTTGAACCTATTGTGTATTAATAATCAATAAGTAATGAATAGGATACACTTCAGTATAACGCTACTGAGGGACTATGTGATAATGCTGTTGTAGTTATATTAAAAAAGAAAATGCTTATGCTTTGAGATTCATACTGACACTGTCTTGGTATGAAACCAGCCACAGAATGTCACAGGCATACCCCAGTGTGCACAGTGCTGGCGCGTTTGACTGGTGGCGCTTCTGATCTTGGCTCTGCTTTCCTTTTAGTTTGGACTATATATGTAGGTATCTCTGGCTGATGGCTGATCTAGGACGTCCTGAGGAGCCAGCTGGGGTGCCCAAGCCTCGCTCGGGCTAAATGCGAGGAGCCTGGTTGTACAGCAAGCTCTGCGGGTGTTCATTTACTGACATCCCATTGGCCAAGCTGAGTCGTGTGGGGTCGTAAGGACGAGGCACCAGGAAGTTACATAGCGGGCGTGTGGTTATGGGGTGAGGGGGGCCATCTTTGTGACTTGTTATTAAGCAGAGGAGAGAAAGTGGTCAGGGTTCTCGAGTAAGCAGACTGTAAGGTGATCATTGTTGAATCTGGGTGGTAGTATCTTGTATACATTTCTCTGTATTTGAAATTTTTCATAAGAGAGACAAAGTAAAAATACGGCTCCAGGCTCTTCAGTACGTCTCCTTCTCTGGCTCTGACTAGGCAGAACCAGACCACACTGTTGCGGTTCTTCTGCGTGGGTGAGGGCTGGGTGGGAATGAGGCAGCAGATTCCAGAACTTGCTGGCAGCCTTCTTTTCTCTGTGAAGGACATCTCAGAGCAGCTTCACATTCAGTTACTAAGCTTTAGGTGAGAACTGACTCGACACAGCCCAGCCTGTCTCTCCTCCTGAGGTTTGGTAGATGAGTCGGGTCCTTCGTGTCTACATAGCCAGATGTTGGCACGTGTTTGCTTCAGCGCATGGCAATTTAACCTGACTAGCTGATCTCTCCCTCCTTCTCTTCCTTCCTTGTTCTTTCCCACCCTCCCCACTCCCTCCCTCCCTCCCTCCCTCTCTCCTCTTTCCCTCCCCACTCCCTCCCTCCCTCCCTCCCTCCCTCTCTCCCTCCCTCTCTCCCTCCCTCCCTCTCTCCCTCCCTCTCTCTCTCCTCCTCCCTAGTCCCTCCGTTCCTTCCCTGTCATGGTTATTTATCAAACTTCCAGCAGAACCAAGAACTGTGCTTGGCACCACTGATAAGTGGGTGAGCAGAGGAACAGATGTAATTTCTTCTATAATTTAGTGTTTCAAGCTCATTCACATTGCATGTGGAAGCTCTGTGATGGCTTAGACCCAGCCACATACTTTCTCATGATATCTAAATGGGAATTTGCCCCTTTCACAATAGAAATCAGTGAAACTCTTCTAAAACCAAGCAGCGACCTCTGGGAATCCAAACCTTCACTTATTCAGCAGTTCCACATCTTTGCATTTCGAGTCACAGATCTAAACTTTTCTGAAAATAATTTTGCATTTTGGGCTGTGTTGAACAACCCATATGCAGCGAGGCAATTTACATTCAACCACTGAGGGGTCAGGCACTTTAGGAGCATTTGTTGATAGCCCATGAAAATGATTAATTGGTTGCCTCATGGTGCAGTTTCATCCTGAACTGGTTTTACGTTTTCTACTAGTCTTACGCAGAAAACCTCATCTGTGGCATGCCACCCCTCTTAGTGTGGTGCCCACGGCTAGTGGAGCTAGGGAACCAGTGCCATAAGCCAGAAGTAACCCTACCCCTGTCCTCTAGTTTGCCCTCTTATTCGTTGCCAAACTGACTCAAGTCCTGCGAGAGTCATTCTGGATTTGGGGAAGCCCAGGGAGCCAGGGCAGGGGCAGGCACGCCCATCGAGGCAGGGTGGGAAGAGAGCCTGTCAACCTGGAGATGCAGCTCTGAAGCAGGAGCAGGAGCAGCAAAGCAGCAGACTCCAGGGACAGACAAGGCTGTGCTGCATGTGCTTCCCACCAGCATCTCTAGTGTCCACTCGCAGCTGCCGGGGCATCAGCGATGCCTACAGGGGACCTGTGTGCCTGAGGAAGCCAGCCCAGTTCTGGCAGCCTGGGAAGAACTTGGCCTTGTGATTGCTTCACACAATGGCCTTGTACCAGGGCCAGGGCCATTTCCAGGAAGGCAGACAGATCCCTCCGGCTGGCTTCTGCCACTGTCTCCTTGCTGGGGCAACAAAAGCACACAAAGCCAGCAAGCAAGGCTCCCAGGGTCGCTGCTGTGCACTTGCACTGAAAACATGAGACTGGGAGTGGTCTCCCCCGGCTCACCGAGTGCTCCAGCTCTGGGCACCACGGCTGTTTGTGAGCCCTTCACCCCTGCAGGGGGAGGTGGCCAGGGCAAGGCTGCAGGTGTCCTTTACAGTCTACAAGTGATTGTGGTACCAACCAAGTGCTCAGGATGGGCCAGGTGGTGGTAGGGGCTGTGGTCATGAGCACTCCTGAGCAGCGTTCCTGGGCCGTAACACCAAGCAAAGGAGCGATGGTTTGGGTTTTCCAGCTATGAGCATGGAAGTTGAAGAGCACAGGCCTGGATTCACATCTGGGAATTGCAGTGCTCCAGTTAGGTGGCTGCTGCCGGGCTACTGGTTCACTGAAGCTAGGCGTCCTCATCAGTAGAGTGAAGATGGGACGTTGTGAAGATGAACTACTATATGTTAAGTGCAGAGCATGGCTCTTGAACAAAAGCTAACATTAAGAATATTGATGATGGGCCGGCGTCGCGGCTCACTAGGCTAATCCTCCGCCTTTCGGTGCCGGCACACGGGATTCTAGTCCCGGTCGGGGCACTGGATTCTGTCCCGGTTGCTCCTCTTCCAGTCCAGCTCTCTGCTGTGGCCAGGGAGTGCAGTGGAGGATGGCCCAAGTGCTTGGGCCCTGCACCCCATGGGAGACCAGGATAAGTGCCTGGCTCCTGCCATCAGATCAGCGCGGTGCGCGGGCCGTGGCGGCCATTGGAGGGTGAACCAATGACAAAGGAAGACCTTTCTCTCTGTCTCTCTCTCTCACTGTCCACTCTGCCTGTCAAAAAATAATAAAAAAAAAAAAGAATATTGATGATGGAGACAATGAAGATGGAGGAGGAGGAGGAGGAGGGTGGTGTTGCAAAAGCATGTGACCTGGAGCTGTGGCCAAACAGAGGATGAAGTAAATGTTTCCTAGTCTCTGGGTACCTCTTGCTGCTCTTCAAACCCTTGGATATTTCTCTGCTGAGGGCTGGCTTCCAATTTGTGTCTCTCTCTACAAATTGCACTCTTAGGAGGTTACCAGACACCTTCTGTTAAGTATTGCTTTAATCTGAGCTCAGCAAGCTTTAAAAAATTTGTTTGTTTATTTGAAAGATAGAATTACAGAGGGGGAGAGACAGATCTTCCATCCACTGGCTCTCTCCCCAAGTGTCCATAACGGCTGGGGCTGGAGCCAGAAGCCAGGAGCTCCACTAGGGTCTCCCAGGTAGGTGGCAGGGACCCAAACACTTGGATCATCATTGGCTGCCTCCCAGTGCATTAACCGGAAGCAGGATAAGAAGTAGAGACAGGACTTGATCCCAAGCATTCGGAATGGGATGCAGGCCTCCCACGTGTTGGTTTAAGCTGCTGCACCAGACTACCCACCATTCAGGAGGCTTTGACATGGTTGTTTGTGTGGCATTTCTACAGTGCTGTCAGCCCAGGGCTGCCTCTGCTGCTCTCTTTGGATATGATTTTAAAGTTTAACCTGTAACAAATCCCACTGATTATAATATTGGATTGGTTTAGGGCAGGGTTCTGCAATTTGTCACCTGTTGGTTAAATCTGTCCTGTGGCCTGCTTTTGTGAATCCAGTTGATCAGAACAAGGGCAGGCTGCTTCTGCACCTTGTCTCTCTGCCGCCTCCTGCTTCAGAGAAGTGGAGGAAACATGTGGCCCCCTCGCCACCAGTATTTGCTGCCTGAGCCTCTACAGATGATTGACCTGCCCTGCTGTAGAAAGAGGTAGGGAGTAGCTCTGTTATCATGACATCCGGGGCTTGTTTCTAATTCTCATCAGCTTTCAAGTCAGGGGGTAGGAGCACTTCCCATTTCCCCAGGTTGGTTTTTAAAGAACAAGCTTGCTCAGGATACCTATTCTATCTGGAGATTTTATTAAATGTTTAAAAGATGCTTTTGTGACACCCAGTTTCATGCAGTTTGGCTAACTCTACGAAGCCAATAGGGTGAGTTAAGAAAAGCTATTTAAGTATCATGTCACTGGCTACCATGTTCAGCTGTTCCTGGAACCAAATGCTGCAGCTGTGTGCAAGTGACAGCATAGAGATCACGCCAGACGCAGTGTTAGGCGTGATGATATGAAGAGAAGGCGATTAGCCACCGCATGCAGAGGATATAAGTGGAAAATGAGAACGATCCAAAAGAACAGGTTTAAACATAGACAAAATCTGCTGAAACAGCCTAGAAGTCGCAAAATCTTTCATGTGACCATTTCCTGGGTCCCCTGGATACTGCCAGTGTATTAGGAAGCAAAGAAGGGCACGACATGGTGATCGGGGTGGGATGAGAAAGAATGGAGGGGGAGTGGATGTGTGGCTAAGCAAGGAGGGGCAGCCCAGCAGACACTGCTTCTAGTTGTGGCCTCTTGTTCTAGAAACTTCTGCATTGGATAGCAGTCAGCTGGAGCTGGGAGCTCTGGCCCACTAGCTGTACGCCCATTCTGAGCAGCAGCAGTCACCACCTGCTGGCAGGTGTCTGTCAAACGCATTCTAAGAAATTCACTTTGTGGGTGGAAGAGTAGGTAACAGGGAAGAGTGAGATACTTTTGTCTGGAGGAATTTGCAGTAAGCAGGGCTGAAGCACTGCAGTGGTGAGAGTATACAGTGGCTGGGGCAGTACTGCAGTTTACCTGAGAGGGGGCGTGATGTAGTGTGGTGGGACACTCCGGTCCCATCTGTCACTGGCGAGCAAGAGAACAGGACAGGCACTTAATTTCCCACAGGCTCAGCTTCCTGTAAAATTGGGCCAGGGGGGACGGGGCAGAGGTGTGATGAAATCCGGTGATACTCCTAGGTCCAAAACACTACTGCTTCTTGTCTGTATCATATCTGCATTTAATGTTGGTATCACCAATCCATCTATCATCAATCAATCGTAGCTATATAATATATATATTCCATCTGTCATTTCTGTATAATCCATCTTGAAAAATGCTGCCATTGTTTTGCCTTAAAAGGAATAAAATGCCATTTTTTTTCCTGTGATTTGAAAATATCTGTTGCTTTTAAGAGTTTGTCCCGGTCCACATAGCTTGGTGATCGGGAAGATTCTAATTGTATGAGTTGATTCATTGTAAAGACAGAATGTGGTGAGCAGGAAAAAACAATATTCTAGCAAGCCACAAATAAAAACCAATAAAACACTGGACACGCTGAAAAAGCGTTTACGCTTGGAGAGTCACAGAAGTACATGTTTTAGTAAGGTGCTGCCGGGGGAGATGGCAGGGCGGGCCGAGGCAGACAAGGTGGACAGCATTGCCTTGCACCTGCTCCTGGGCCTCCTGGAGCAGCTCCCAGCTGGGTAATCTAATCCCTGATCCTCAGGGAACGAGACGTGAGGGGGATCCAGTCCAAGCGCGGCTGGCCGACTCACCTGGAAAAGGGGTGGAGGCGAGTCTGGGATGCAGGCAGGTAGCCCCTCAGCGCCTCTTGACCACGGTGAACCCCTGTGTCCCTGGTTCCCAGCTGGCACACGCACTGCCGAGCCCACCGCTACACACCCGGCTTTGGGGCCAGGCTCAGCCCTGGTGAAAAGTTCAGCAGGGGTCGCCAGGTCCCTCTTCTCATTCTTGCTCCTTCACCTCCAGGAAGAGTGGACGTGCACAGCTTAGCCAGTTTTCTGCTCCCACATGGTCAGTGCAGACACAAACGTGCCTCGGAGGGTTACAGAGGTTACCAAATCCATCATCCCGGGCACACTGAGCACCTGGCAAAACCGTTCCCTTTACCTGACTTCTAGAGCTTTGCCGGTTCTGTGCTACAGATTGTGGTGGGAATGAAGGGAAGCCAGGCTGCTGGCGTCAGCAGGTTTCCAGCTTAGCTGAAAAGGAAAGAGAAGAGAGAAGATGGTGCGGAACGCCACACCGCCTCGATGTGCGCCCACGCCTCGTTTGTCTTGGGACCCGAGGTCGGAAGCAGAGTGCATCTCCGGGAGAACACTCCTCCGCAGATCCTTGAGAGCGTCACAGACAATTTTACGTGCTTCAGAATCCCCTGGCTTCTCTGGGGCACACGTCTGATGTTTGTTCTGCTTTGGCTTTAAGTACATTCATGCGTTTTAGTGACTCTTCAATGCCCTGAGACTTTTATTTTTAAAACTGTGAAAGGCATTTGACCTAGGGAGTCTTATTCACATTGGTTTAATCTTTAACAGGTTAGAGATGGACTAGATAAGACTCTAAAAATAATACCTCTTAAAAGTCTGAAAAAATGCATGAGCAGAAAAACGTTTTATTGGTATATGGTTCTCATCAGATGAAACTCGAAGTGAAAATACTGTTCCCAATTTGGAGAGATTCCTCAAAGAGCCTCGTTTTGCTAACCACGCATCCTTTCCAGATGGGGCGACTTTTCGTGATTAACCATCGGTGGATTGAATAAATTTCCCTCTTGCAAGGTCACCCGTAATTATCAGGCAGGCCTAATCAGGAGCCTCCCCCCGCCCCCTCGTGTTGAAACAGCAGTGACCAGAAACACCTGCTCCGTGTCCTTGGCTCCCTTCCTGCCGGAGGTCATCACTCACCCTTTTCGTTTTTAAAATAGGAATGTTTGTAACTTCTAGGGGTGCAGTCACACGGGCGCGATGGAGGCGGCGGCTGTCTGGTGCGCGGATGCCCTTCTAGCGCGTCTAAGCTGGTGTCGTCTCGTTTACTTTTACACTTTTACTTTGATCAGTGAGCTCACCTGGGTGCTTGGAGAACGGCCGCGTAGCCGCAGCGCACCCTGGAAGGAGAGGCTTGCTCAGGCTCTCGGGGCATTCCGCTGAGGGCCCTCGGGGCTCCCTAAGGACAGCTGCGGGGAAGTTGACACCACGTGGGCTGGGCTGACAGCTGGCCTGAGCCTCGAGCGGTGACAGACAGGCCCCAGCAGCACCGGTCCTGGCTCTGGCAAGACCGGGGTGGACGGCACAGACGCTGCGGGAACAACTGCCCCGCGAGAATAGGCTGTTTGTGCAGCCCAGCTGCGAGGCCGCCTGTGAGAACGGCTGCGTCCCGGGGCGGGTTGGGCGCAGCTGTTGCCGGGGGCTTAGAATTCCTACCGGAATAAATGGCTGGCTGCAGGACGGGATTCTGGTCATACATGGATTCGCTGAAATTCAGCTGTTGACTCGTGTGGGTATGACTCTGGCCACGAGCTCAGGAGTCGTGGGTCATTTCAGGTTTTGCCAGCTAAACAGACACTCCCCGACGGTCATTTATTTCCATCTGGGGAGCCCGAAGCACAGCTTCTCTCTGTACCGTTTCTTCTTTAAGGAAATCAACAATGCCCGTTCTTCCAGTCGGGTACCATCCACAGCACCTCCCGCAACACGTGATACTCAGTAAGCTCTCGTCATGAGAATAATGATCTAGGTTAGATAGCTATTACTTAAAAAACTTCCGAGCGATAGGAGAGGAACTTTCTGGAACCAAATGGTGTTGCCTCCTGTCCTTTGAGAGCTCACATCGCGTCAGCCAGGAGGACAGGGAAATACAAGCGCACATGCAGCTCACACACACACACACACAGCGGGGTGAGACCACGAGACCTGAGTAACCCCAGCCTCAGCCTGTGCAGCACAGCTCCAATAAGCAGGCCGGAGCAGGTGGGGAGGTCACGGTGAGCGCAGACCACAGGCTCAGCAGGCTCTCCAAGGCACACGGTCCCTGCCAGACTCGTCTCAGGGACAGGAGCTTCCCAAAAGGCTTGCCTACGGGAAAATCCAGACTGCTGGGAGCAAATGAGAAATCACAATGGCTGCTGACGTGTTTTGGGAAATGACTTGCAGCTCTCAGTGGCCTGGGGAGAGTCAGAAGGTGACAGAACCCATGACGAGTCCACATGAGAACTCCAACCGGCCTCTACAGAGCCTGCCCCACAAGGCCTCTGTATGGAACGGGCCTGGTGCAGGTGGGTGGAAATCACTGCACTGGGGCAAAGTCCTGTGCAAAGAAGTCTTGTTTTGTTTTTAAAGATTTAAAGATTTGAGAGAGAGAGAGAGAGAGGTGTTCAGGTCTTCCATTCTCAGGTTCACTTCCCAAATGGCCACCATGCTCAGGAGCCCAGAACTGCGTCTGGGTCTCCCACATGGGTGGCGTGGGCCCAAGTACTCGGGCCATCTTCCATTGCCTTCCCAGGCACACTCGCAGGGAGAGGGACCTGAAGTGGAGCAGCTGGGACCTGAGCCAATGTGCTTGTATTGGATCTGGAATGGCAGGTGGCAGCTTAGCCCACTGTGCTATGATGCTGGCTTGCAAAGAAGTGTGCAGAAAAAGGGACAAAGGCAAATGAGGAAACAAATGACAGATAAAAAGTTAAATGTTGTCATAAAGAAGACTAAAATCACAATCAAAAAATACTGATGGATTTAGAAATGAAAGCAAATACGAGAATGGAGCAATCTGAGCTGTGACGTCTGCAGAACAGGAAGCAGAGATCCGAGAGCTGAACAAGATGTGGCGAAGCGAAGCAGGCAAGTGTGGACTGCCAGGACTTTAGGAGGCGACGGAAAGAGACAATGACCACAGGAGGAAGATGGAGTGGAGGCGGACGAGGACAGTAGCGTCAAAACAGCAGGAGGTAAGAGACTAGAAGTCAGCAAAGCGAAATGGAATTGAATAAGCAGTAGACAGTAACAGCCAAAAGTCAGATACAGAATAACACAATTGGAAGACAGAAGATCTTCAGTGTACGACTAGTTGGCGTTCTTGAATAACTATCGGAAAAGTGGACTAGAAGAAAGTATAAGATGCAATCCAAGAAGACATTCCTCAACTAGAGGAAAACCTACAGATTCCAAGGACAAATGGAATTCTACACTCAATTGATGAAGAGTGATGTGCTGGATCTATCCTGGTAGGTGTTGGATGAAAACAGACCTCATTCTTTGGCAACCTGAGCAAAACATACTTAAGGGTGAAGACATTCACACTGGGTTTGCCTCCTCCCAGTAATCTTTAGCACCACACAGAGAGGACTGAATCTGAGACACAGCTAAAATGGGGAAAGGCAGGAATGTCTAAAATCATAGAGTAAGTACATTCCTAGCAAATGCAAACAAAAGTAAAGCCGTAGTTCATAATCTCGTATTAGACTTGGGGGCAATAAGCATTATATAAGACCAACGTGGGTGTTTAAAATAGCAAGGAATGCACTCAATGCATACCAAACAACACAGCCTTGATAGTAAACAATACATGTAAATCTACAGAAAAACAGAAGTACAGGGGGAAACAGACAAATCAATGAGTAAAGAGAAACTGATCCATCCATCAGAAATCCAGCAGGCAAAATCCCTGCAATTTAATAAGACATAGCTAACTGTGACAAATCAATAGTGTAGCCTTAAAGCAAAATACACATCTTTTTAAGTTACAAGAATACTCATAAAAACTCACCCTGGAAAATCACACTAATTCCAAAATAGATCAACATTCTTTGATCATAATGAGACAAACTAGAAATTAAAAATAATAAAATTATTACCCCTTATAAATGAATAAAATAGTAATAAAAGCAATAATGATAATAAAATATATTCCTGGTGATTATTGCGTGAGAAAGAAAATGGGCATTGAATGTGAGAGGTATCTGAGGAATACTGATAATCCTCCATAGAAACTATCAAAGAGAGACTACAGACTTGAGTAATATTCAGAGTGTTAAGGACATGCATTAATATCAAAGGGAGCTAAAAAAATAAGAGAATGATGAACAAACTCGACGGCAGAAAGCAGGGTGGGTGTGTGGTGCAGCGGTTAATGTGCCACTTGGAATTCCCTCGTCTCACTTCAGAGTACCTGGGTTTGAGTCCCAATTCTCTGCTCTACTTCATCTTCCTGATACCATGCCCCCTGGGAGGCGGCAGATGATGGCTCAAGTAACACATGTGAGAGGTCTTGATTGTGTTCTGGACCCCTGGATTGGGCTGCTGTGGGCATTTAAGGATTGTACCAGCAGATGGGAGGTGTCTGTCATCTGTCTCTGTCTCTCCAGATTTCAAACAAATGAGTTTAAAAAGTTAAATTAAAAAAATTAAAAAGTAGAAAAACAATAACAAATAAAGGAGAAAAAAGAATAAAGATAGAACAGATATTATTGCATTAGAAAACAAAAACTGACAGAAGTAATAAATGCACTTAAAAGCAGATTATTGGCATAAAAATATAGATGGACTGTCGGCAAATCCAGTTAAGATAAACAGTGAGAAGGTACACATGCATAAGTAATACTTAATAGTCACAAGTAAGGGGAAATTAAAAATCATAACAAATGACTCTTCTTGAATCTGCCTTAGTAATTTGAAACCCTAAAGCAGATAATTTATCAAAACTGACCCTAAGGGAAACATAAACATTTTTTGAAAGATTTATTTATTGATTTGAAAATCAGAGGGGAGGCGGTGAGAAACAGGGAGAGAGGGAGAGAGAGCGCTCTTTCATTCTCTGGTTCACTCCCCACATGGCTACAATAACCAGAGCTGGGCCAGACCAAAGCCAGGAGCCAGGAGCTTCTTCTGGGTCTCCCGTGGAGGTGCAGGGGCCCAAGCATGTAGGCCATCCTCCACTGGTTTCCCAGGAGCATTAGCAGGGAGCTGGATGGGAAGTGGAGCAGCCAGGACCCATATGGGATGCCAGTGTTGCAGGGGGCAGCTTAACCCACTATACCCACAGGGCCGACCTCAAAGGTAAATTAATGAGATCAGTTATTGTAGAGGATGTACATGGGGTTGATAAGAGCTACCTGCAGGAAAAAGCATCAGACCTAGTTTATTTTATAGGGAACTAACCAAGCTCTTAAAGAAAATGTAAAGCTAACATTATTAAAATATTCTAGAGCATATAAAGAGGAAGCAGACAGTTCCTAAAAATTTAAATGAGTTTAGCATTATCTTGACAACCTTGACCAAAACTTTAAGCTAGAAGGAAACTGCCCTATGTGAACAATCATATCTCTAAAGAATCAAAAGAGAA